TCATTGCAAAGGCAATCGGCACCGGTCCAGTCGAGACACTGGCTGGCACTGCCACTCACTGAGACTGGCTGCTTCAGTTGCTGGTGCTAGTGCTGCTAGTGCACTAGTCGCCGCTGACACTGGGCGCCATCATAACAGACGAATACTAACCGACAGGGAGAGAGAGATTGAAGAAGAGAAAATAGAAAAAGGGAAAAGAGACACACAGCAGAGTGGAAGAGCCAGATCACGACGAATAACAGCAGACGACGATCTGTGTGATCTCGGTTCTCCCCCTCAAACCGTACACTGCTTTTTAGGCTCTTGCGCTGAGTATTCTGATTTCAAATGATTGAGCCCCCTTTTAGCAGTACAGTTCACTGCATTTCAAGGTCACTTCAAGAGGGAGTACTTCTTACTGCTTTCCTCATCTTCATACCCTGTTTACCCTTTTAGCTAAGTATGGCTAAGTGCACTTCAGCACAGCATAGTTCCAGCAAATTCGCACCCCAATTTGGTTAATGTTCATATTTTGCAACACCCGCACAGCTCAAAACTTTAGTATTTGTTTTTCTTTTTTTGTGATGATTATGTGGAGTTTACTTGTTTTTCAAGTTCGCCGGCGCCGTTATAATATCTCCTGTCACTTTTCATTTGCCTAACACACTTGCCCACAGTGGGCAATCTGCAGTTTTGTGTTTGTACGGCTGTTTACTGTGTACAAAGTGCCGCTGCAAGCTGCTGCCTGCCGACTACCCATTACCGACTACATCTACACCTGCCCCTCTCTCTCTCTCTCTCTTTCGCTAATGAACGCCCAACTGGCACGCACTAGCGACCCTGCGCCTCGTGAGCCTCCTCTGATGGAGGGAATCGTCCAATCGACCAGAATGTACTCGACAGTGAATGAGACAGGTACACACACACAGACAGAGCGCACATTGAGTCCAAATTGTAAATTGATAATGATCACCACAGCAGAGGCGGTTGTCATGAATGAGCCACTTCAAGCAAAGGGAACAAAATATACACACTTTATGCTCTGAAATTATCGGCAGTATTAACACGAACAAATTAATGGTAATGGACCAGTTTCAATAGAGCTGTCAGTGAGTGATCATCATCGCTGTCAGTGAGTGGCCAGTGGCAGTGGCCAGTTTTCCCCCTTTTCCGGCCATTAACCGGCCGACCATCAGAATGAGTCACACTGACAGAGTAGTAGAGTGACAGGCAGGCATTTTTTCTTCACTGCTGTAAATTTTATTATTTCAAAGTAGGTTAACCACAACGTTTCAGTTGGATTTATTGTTTTTCCTCTCAGACCTCTCTTTCTACTTGGCAGCGGCAGTGCTGAGAACTAGTAATTGAATTATTCATAAAACGAATCCCCCTGAACAGTTGCATAGGTTTGCCCACTTTGTGCACACTGTCGTACAAGAGCAGTACTTTTTTCTGTTGTCGGTATATTGACATTGGCAGACTACGGCAAAAGAAAAGAGTGCTGAAAATTAGTGGCGACAATTAGGGAGGGGGAATACTGTCAGCCGTACATATGAGTGAACATTCAGTCTGCAAAAGACTGAATTCTCTGTACATTAAAAACAATGGCCGACCTTGGGAGCAGAGGCGCTAGAAGACTCATTTGTCATTTGAAGTGTATGTGTGTGTGTGCGTATATTGACTTAGAAAAATGCAGTACAGAAAAGCAGAGAATAAGAGTGTCAAGGGAGGCAATGCAGCTGACGGAAGGTCAAGACTAAATTAAAAGGAGGGGAAAAGCAAGTAAAACAAGAAGGGAGGGCCTTGAAAGCGGCTGGGTAATTTAGAAGAATGACATTAAGTTATTTCATTGTTCAGAATTACCGCTAACTGTAGCTGTCAAGATTTTCTCAATAAACCGGTTTTGTCAACTTTGATAATCAATTTAAACTCTGAATATCTGTTTTCTATGCATTGTACAATTTTGTTTTTAAATTTTCAAATAAATGTGTTTAAAACAACTTTTTCAATTTTTCTACTTCTGTAAAATACAAGTATTGTTAAGTTTGTTCTTGGTAATTATCTGCATTTGATGGCAGAAACTCAGCCATTTATTTCTGCTCCATTTTCATCATGTTATCTCCACTTGTCCGCCTCTCAACAGTTTTTAAGCAAACAGACAGACACTGTGACACGAAAGCACACTCGACTGCAGCAGAAAGACGGCAACAGAGAGAGTTGGTGATGAGCAAACAAAACTGCAAACCTCGGTGCAATAGCCGTGCCGTACACTGGCGCACAGTGGCCAAGCTAGATGAAAGCGGGAAGTGGGCACTGTCTCTGTGCATGCAGCTGATTGCCGGGGCGCACTTCTCTCCCTTCATTTCTATCTTTTTCTGTATTCGAGGAGCACAACAATAAACTGATGAGGACAGTGGCAATAAAACTGGTCTTCACTGGTATGGCAGGGTCAGTCTGGGAGAAGGCATGGGGACAGCGAAGAAGACTTGTTGTACTGATGAGATTGATCAACAACAAGAAAAGAGATCAGTGAACAGCAACAACAAAACACAGGGGCAGTGTGGGAGTGCACAGGCACAACTCCTGTACCCTCCTCAAATAGAACCTATTTATTTCATTATCCACAATAAACCCTAGCAATTCAATCACCTACATTGCCTACTTCTTATCAACTTTGGTCACGTAGTCTGGCTAGCACTGGGTGGGCAGTGGCCACCGCAAACTGTCCATTAAGATAAAGCAACAGTAAAACGGAACAAACATTGAAACATTTACTTTTTTTCCAAATAGTTTCGCAAATTTATATTTAAAAAATTAATAATGAAAAATGCTTTTTTCTGGAATATTAAATTTGAAAATTCACCTTTCAATTAATCTAAATTGAAATCGTTATTTAAACAAAATGCTTGCAACTCATTATATTTACATTAAGAGATCACTTTCCTTAATAAATAAAACACATTCACTGTGTAGACAAACATGCGTTTGATGTAAAAACAAAAACTGAGTTTAGTACAAATGCACGCAAAGTAAGGTCAATTTTCAAACTAATGTCAAAACTTTTTCTGTGCTCTAAACAGCATAAATAAAAAAAATCACTTAGACCTACCTTGAATAAGGATATCCAGGTTGCATCAAAAACGGAAACAACAATATTTAGTATCATCAACACCGTAAAGAGACGATGATTAAGCCTCAACTGGTATCGTCGAAAGTGTATTTCGGTGCTCTTCAACTTAAACTCTGCTCTCAAAGACTTCAAAGACCACTGCAATTTAGTTGAAGTGGCAGAGTCCTTTCTGGTGGATGACTGCTCGTAGACAAGAGAGTTGACTGATGCAGAGGAGGACGCAGTGGTTTTGGTAATGCCCGAATCAATAGAGTGTCGAAATTGCTGTGAACTGGAGAAGTACTGTTGTTGATGATGGTGATGATGATGGTGATAGAGGTGGTGGTGGTAGGGATGAGGGATGCTCTGAAAGTGGTGTTGTTGATCTTCAGCATGTCGAATCCAGTCTAAATTGAACTCCGATTCATCGGGCATATCCTCTTCCTCTTCTCCGCAGGTGGTCGTCACCGTGGTCGTCAAACTGGGCCTGTTTGTTGCATTTGACAGTGAAACAGTGACTGTTGAGGGACTGTCACCAGGCAGCAGAGATCCTGAGCGGTAGCCGAGCATGCTGATTAGGTAGCACTTCCAATCAGCTGTGCCCACCAGATGATAAATAATTCAGAGAGAAAGAACGTAACTGCTGAAATTGTTCAGTTTCAAGGGTAGGAGGTAAATGGAATAAAATGCAATGGAAATGGAAAATTAGACCTATTAACGGCATGGGAAAAATGTAAGGTGTAAGCAAAGACAAATGCTTAGATCTAAAGTAGGCCATATATTGAGACAAAGAAAGGCGGATATTTTTAGCTTCCGCCAGACGGAAACTTTCTCAAATGTGCACTTTTTGCAAACGGTCAATGGTTTATTCAGTTTGTGCTACTAAAAACTAAATTATAACTTGCATTTAAAATTAGCATGAATCGACTAAAGTTGATTGAAAACGGATAACTTTTGGTAAAAAATTATTTTAAAACTATCAATAAAACTTGTTGCCTTATTGTAAGTAAAAAAGTAATAGTGTAGGACAAAAATGCTTTGCAGAAATTGTTAAAAGCATGTAAATTAAAAAAGTACTGTTTTTTCTATGTTCCCATTGTGTACTGAGAAATGTAAGAACAATAGCAATTATTTGTCGACTAATTAAATAAAAGAAAAAATTCATTACACAGATCGCATTGTTCTCTACATGTAACTCCTGTCGTGGCAACATTTCTGGTATTAGATGCTGAATAATTAGCCCAGACGCCCTTGGCCGTAACCTTAGCGCGCTTGTAATTAGGTTTAGCAGACAGGGGTAGAAATAAAAGCATATTGAGGCTCACATTGAGAGGTCAATCATGAAAGTAAATAGGTACCGTTATATTGATTGTCTGGACTAGACAGTTTTGCGACGGTGAAGCAGAGCAATCGATTAGATGAGGAGTTAGATCGATTGCAGTAGTCTTATCGATTTGTAGGGATGATTTCAGCTGTTTTGGGTGTCTGATTTTCTCTTGGCATATCTGACAAATGGCCTAGTTGTTGGCGATGTTGCTGTTGTTTAGATTAAAACCCGCACACACACACTCTAAATGCGATGTCTGTGTTGTCTGTTGTCGTAGTTTATATAAAGTAAAAGGTACAGATGCTGGTGATCGTAAAAAGCGGCCACTATTTCCACGAACAGTCGAAATGACTGTTTCGAAAAGATCGGGTACACTGAAGCTCTGAGCAACTGATGCTAAGAGAGTGAAAACGAAAGTGAGTGCAATGATCGGTTGGACTAGTTCAATTTAGAAGTGCTGCACTCAAGCTCCCATTCTGCTTTTCACTGGTTACCTAAGTAGGCGACTGTGACTTTTATGGATTCTAAAAACGACTGGTATTTGGCAAATTAGAGCTGTTTCACAGTAGCGAAAAGATATTTTCCCTAACAGACGCATTTCTTTCTTTCTTTAATGGGTTCGAATGTAGGTTTAGTAATTATGACAACTAAGTGAAAGATGTCAAAAAATGTACCAGAAAACTTTGTCATGTCATGAACCGGAAGTGAAAAGTGACAAATAAGTTAATAGAAATTGAAAAAGATTTACAATACCGTTATTTTAGGAAAACCCTCGGTGAAACTGAAGAAGAGCACTTTACGCTGACCACCACCACTGGCTCTCAAGTTACCCGGAATGTGAAGTATGTTGATTGCTGCAGCGCTTTTGTTCACAATTGGCAGTAGTGGGCCAAGAAGAATGAAAAAAGGGATGAGAGGACATGTGTGTGTGCAGTAGAGTAAACACTAGAAAGTGATGTAGTTTGTCCTTGGTAACATCACCCAGCCTTGGCAATGATTTCGAATACGATGATAAAAGCACACATACACACACACTTGCACTTCTCACAGAGTAGTGACCAAACGTGAAATTAAAGTTTGCTGGCTGCTTTCGAGACAAAACAGACAGCGGAGCAGTGTCACTGGACTACTGCCAATTTAGAGACTGATGCTGCAGCCGCTGTGAAGTGCACTGAACCAGTGCTGGTGATAAAGCTGGTGCTGCCTGGGCTTCCTCTCTGGCGACTGGTGCTCTTGTCTCGGCTGCCTTGAAGCCTTTAAAATGCCCAACAGACGAGAGAGAAAAGTGGAAAAAGATAAACAAAAAAAATATGTGCAAGGAGAAGAAGAAGGCAGCAACGGAAAAGGGCTGAATTTTGAATAAAAAGTACAAATGTTTCTCAACCAAGGCACGGAAGAAAAGTTGGCGTGTGAGTTTGATGGAAAAAAGAAAAATCAGTGAAACCAGTGTAAGCTGGTCATGCAAAGGAAAGAGAAACACGGGAAAAAGAAGGCAAATGTTGGGCCGGTTGGCCGACTGACGGCGGAATGCAAATGGTGGGCTGTGATGAAGAGCTGAAGATGCTTCGAAGAGAGAGAAAGAGAGAGAGAAGACTACTAGTATTTTTTTTCTCTGTGGTTTCTTGGCTCTCTATCCGATTGCCAGGGAGGCAAAGAGAAGTACAGTGTGGAATGATTGAAATGACAGCCACTGGATGCATATGCGCAAATGGCAGTGGGCACCAATCGATTGAATGCAGAGCTGATGCTGTTCACACGTCCACGATGGCACCTTTCCCTCTCCCTTTTACTTTTAGTTTTTCGTACAACGGGCTTTATCTGCACGCTAGAATCACTAACAGAAGGACAGATTTAGACCAGAGTAGTACAGAGTAGAGTAAAAAAGAGGTGAGAAAAACAGAAAAAAAGAGCTACTTCAGCAGACTTTATCTGCATAACGGAAGTTAAAAGAGGTAGTTACTGAAAAGGGTGGTGAGAATGGACTAATGCTAACCTTAGTAACTTTAGAGGACTGTGTCAGTTGTTGGTGGCTGTCATTTGAGTAGGCGCAAAACGTAATTGTGAGCAATTGACGCTCTGCTACTTGTGATGGTGCTAAGGGTAGGAGAAAACTTTTCTCCCTCCAATCGATTGATAAACACAGCACAGCACACACACATAGTCCGTCTAAGTGTAAACTGATTTTAAAATGACGATAGCGACAAGACTCTTTAACTCTGTGTAACTCGCCAAACAAAGTTGTGGATTTTTATAAATAGAAAAAAATTAAAAGTGTTTAGTGGTAGCAGTACCAACGCACAGACACACGTCTGGGTGATGATGCTGAGGGTGATAATTGGACGACACCGACACGCATAAAAGGCGCAAAGTGTCTAATGGAAAATCGGATAGAGAAAAAGGGGTTTATTTATTGCCGATCAACAAACGCAGACGCTAGCTGGATTATGTAATGATTTCAAATTGATATTGTGGATATACATTACTATGCGGATTTATGTATACAAGTCAAATGAAAATGTAAGAATTTTTACGATTGTTTACTTTGCAAATAAAAATCGATAAACTTTAATGAAAACAGAACAACTGACGCATTGTGACAATCTGAGTGCTGTGAGAAATAAGGAGAAAATCCAAAAATCGTTATCAACTAATGATAAACGGGGCACAATTTTTATAAACAAAAAGTAAAATAACTAAATATTTTAGATAAATATAAGTGCACTTTTCATTAAAGTTTATCAAATTTCAATTCTAAATTGTAAAAATGCATTAAAAATTAACTGCACCAGTTCTCACAAGAATATTCCCAAGATGCCTTTTGAAATGCTACTTTTTCAAGCTTTCTTATGCTTCGCTTTCAACTCTCAATGGACTAATTTTATATTACTTTTTCACCATTATTCAGATCATAATGAGAGGGGTAGTTCAAGTTTAATTGCCAGTTGAAACGTAAAATTGAATTTCATTTGATGGTACTTGAAAAAATAATAAAAAAAAGTCGGTTTGTCTCTCCAACATTTTTTTCCTTTGCTACTGTTGAGTTTAACACAAATCAGAGACAACTGTCACAGTCTGTTTCTGAGTGCACTTCCAACAGTGCGAAACCATACTTGCTCTGTTTGGCAAATGATACAGTGCACACATTGCATGCAAAAACTGACTGGTCATTTGGACGACGTGATTGACGTTATGCAGAAAGAAGACAGTCAGATAAAATGGGTTGAAGTTGAGGACTGTAATATACATGTTTACTCTTAAAATAGACACCGGCTAATTAATAAAATATGGTGACTCAGAGGTTCACGCGAACTGACGCAGAATGGCCTCAGCAATATGCACTGGGCAAAATTAACCATTTTTTGCCATTTCTATCATGCAAGTGCAGATTCTTTTTGGTCAAAACAAGCTAGCAGGTGACCTTCAATTTGCAAAGTAAACAAAAAACTTGCACAAAAAGTTTTAAAATTACATTTTAGCTTAATAACTAAGTCATGTTTTTGTGTGTTTATTCCGTTTTCCAAATATTGTTAACACCAGATTGTTAATGAAAACAATATAAAACCAAACAACATGTTTATTCATTCTCAAATTGAAACGAATCTGTTTTGAGAGTTAGCTTCAACTACGACAACAAGCGAGTACAACAGCGTCTAACTGTACGACACGGCCACCGTACAGAAAATCACCGTTGCTCTTTCAACACAACACTTTCCTCATTACCGTCTAGTGTTAATTTGCTAAGATAATTAAGCAGGCACAAACATACCACACCACACACAAGCACATACCCACTCTAATTAAGTAAGCAATCTCACTTTCTCTCTGTGCACTCTCACCGTACAAATCCATTAGCGACTTGAGTGCAGTCTCGCCACCTCATCAACTGCCTGCTAATTATAAACCAAACTCATTCGACACTGTGTGGTTGACTACTATTTTTAGTGTGAGACAAAGACGACAACTGTGTGATGAAAATCTAGCAGCCCTTACTGCCTCCTACTGAAAGGTATTAGAAAGTCATCATCGGAAGAGAGAGTGCAATACCGATGGGAGTAATCAGAGCAAAGTCAGTGCAGTGATCATGTCGTCCGTTTGAGAGCCAGTTTGTCTCTCTCTCTCTCTCTCTCTCTCTCTCTGGTGAATAGCCCAGTGGTCAAGGCTCATTTGCCTTGATCACAACAGGATCACAACAGTAGATCATTACAACTACTATATGTCAATTTATTTGCAAATGTATATGAAAATAAATTGTGATAACTATAGCTGGAGTAGAGTAGACAATGAATCAAATGAATCATGGGGTCACTGAATTGGTCAGTGACCATTTCACAGTTGTTAGGATAGAAGAAGAAATACAAAGTCTTATAAAGTCAACAAGCAAACAAAAAATAATAAATTTGAATAAGTTCATAATGTGTCAATAATCATCCAATCAGAGGTTTTCTCCGGGGTACAAGGCAAACTGAAGAAAAATGAATGTAATATTCAAAGGTTAATGGCGGTGTGTATTAAAATATGAAAACTTTTTTTTCATAAAGGAATATTATCATAGTGATTTGGAGTTGGTTGGAATTACCAAAATTAAACGTAAATGAAAAGAAGTTTGAAAGGAGCAGAGAGATCTAGTGAGATATTAACAAAGTGAGTTTTTATACTTGTCATTTTGGATGNCAGAAGAAGGGAATATTATCATAGTGATTTGGAGTTGGTTGGAATTGCCAAAATTAAACGTAAATGAAAAGAAGTTTGAAAGGAGCAGAGAGATCTAGTGAGATATTAACAAAGTGAGTTTTTATACTTGTCATTTTGGATGTAGAATCGGAAGAACCTGACAAAAGAAATTAATTAAGAAGTAGAGTGGTGGGCATGAATCGAGTAAAAAATAAGCACAAGAAAAAGAACACATGTTTATGAAAAAGAAAGCTTTTCTGAGGTCAATGAGCAAGTTAATCGGACAATTCGGTTCTAAAAGACAGCTGTTTCAGGGGCCGCGGGCTCACTGCCTTTCTCCGCGCTCTCTTTAGCAGCGGCAGTGGCAGTAGCGACGGCAGGAGAAGTAGCGGCGGCGGTGGCACTACTACTCGATGCGACGATGGGGATGAATCGGGGAACGGAAAACTCCTGACCATCGCGATGACCACCTGCCAGACTGTCAGAGCTGATGGTGGCCATAGACTGAGCAGAGGATGGACGCGGCTGCACCGGAGCATGTGCCGACGAGGAGGGATTGTTTGAAGAGGATGGAATGCTCGCCGAAAAGGCAGGTGTGAAAGTGGGAGTAGAGGAAGAGCTTCCGCCGCCGAAAAGACCTGAAATGACTGAAGACGACTGGTGCAGTGGCTTTGAGGAGGAGGAGGAGGCAGCAAAGTTACCACCTGCATTTAGGTTAGACTTAAAGATGCTGGCAAACTTGTTGGGTATCTTCAGCGTCAAACTAGGCACTCGCGGCTCCTGTTTGGGCTGAATGCTGAGGTGTTTCAAGTTGGCCAGTGGAGCAATCGACGGTGGTCGACCGCGGCGCTTCTTTACCACCGGTGCTGAGCTGCTGCTGTTAGCACTGGTACTGCTGCCGCCGGCAGTGGTCATCAGCGGAGGAGTCTGCTCTACGTACAGGTCATGGGCTGAAGACGAGGAGCTGGCCGAGGAGAGCGCCGGTGAATGGGGCGATGAGGTGTGGGCGGTTGAACTGCCAGTGCCGCCACCACCTCCAGCTGTCACCGTAGAGACAATGTCCCCGCTGCCGTTGACGATAGTGACCGTGTGCGAAGAAGATGGACTGATGCGACTGACGCGCATCACGGGAACTGTCGGTGTGCTCTCTGAAGTGCACTTTGCCTCGTTGGCCACCTCACTGGAAGGCGACGAAGTGGCGCTGTCAGAGACTGATGCCGAACTAGCCGGCACAGGAGTGGCAGGAGCAGAAGTAGTTGTTGCTGTTGAAGCAGGAGTTGAAGGAGTGGAAATCGGTGACGGGCGATCGACTGAAGCAGGTTCTGAAAATTAATAATTGAAATGTCAGTTTGAACAAAAAACTACAACAAGATAATTTGTTCTTACCAGCACTGGACTCCTTTGAAGCAGAGGCGCTAGCAGCCGCCTTGGCCACCTTTGCGGCAAGTGAGCTTCTCGCCAGACCCAACAGAGGATTCAGAGGCCGGGGCACAATGGCCGCCTTTTCGGTGATTGCCTTTCTCGGACGTCCTCTCGGGCGAGCTTCCATCTTGATGTGAGGAGGCAGGGTGATCACGGGCTTCTCCTCATCAACCGGAGTCGTCGAAGTCATGGCCTTGGCACTGAAGACATTCGGTGAAGGGCCATTCGGAGTGGAAGGAGAGCTTGAACCTGAAGCGGCCGCCAGCTGTTCGTTGATCTCGTTCTTGATAGCGGCCAGATTTATCTGAGGAACTGACTTTGACAGTCCAGAAAGGCCTTTAGGACCGGGCGAGGTCGTAGTGAGTGGGGTCTGCTCACCCACCGGTCCTGCCGACTGACTAATCTGCTGCGACCAGCTGCGCAGCTTGGACTTGGTGACGATAGTTTTCACTGAACCAGGAGTGGACGAGGACGAAGATGTCGAAGGGTCCTTGCTGGAAGCCACCACAGGAGTGCTCTCTCGGCTCTGTCGCCCGTCAGTTTCGCCGGCCAATTTGGAGCCAGTTGTGGCCGACTTGCGACTAAGGTCCAGTGATCCGTTGCTAGTTCGGTGCTGCTCATCCCCCTTTGAGGAGGAGCCATACTGACCAGATATCTCCACCTCAACGTCACTGTCAATGCTGGGCGTACTGTTTCGACTGTGCGGAAGCTGCTGCTCCTGCACCTCACCACGAGTACGGTAGCCGTTCATGCGCTTTGACTTCATTTTCAGCGTCATTGTGTTCTTACGAGGCTGAGTGGAAGATGAAGATTCGGAGGCTTCCTCTTTGATATTCTCCTCGTCGGTGGCCTCATCTTCGGCGTCGTCCATCGGCTCAGAGAGAGGTCCACCAGTTCGCTTTGAGGAGACTGACGCCACCTTATGGTGGCCATTAGCGATAGAAGAAGTGGACGCCTGTGATTGCGCACTCTTCCGTGTCGATTGCGAAGCGCTCGAAGACGAGGACGTCGACTGTGGAGATGAAGAGTGGACACCGTCGCCGTTACTATGACCATTGGTCTTTTTGGAGCTCTGTTGGGGAGAAATAAAAGTGGTTAAAAAGCAAGTTGTAAATCTCTACCAAACTTACAGATGCTTTTGCCTCCTTTTGGTTTTGCTCCTCTTCGGCAGTGCCGATTTTCCTCTTTTTGCCTCGCTTCTTTGGCATCGTCGAAATGCCCGCCTTATTGTCGTCATTCTTTGGTCCTTCATTACAATTGACATCACTTCGACTCGGACTGGAGGCTGCTGATGATCCATTGACCAGCGCATTCTGCTGCAGCTCGGGTCGGATTGGTCGCCCGTGTTTGAGGTTCGGACATTCATCCAGGTCCATATTGCCCAATCCCAGTACGCCCAAGCACTCGGCCGAGCTGACGAGCGACTCCATCTGATCGCGAGGCACCGTCACCTCGCCTTTGTAGATAAACTCGAGAATGGCATTAAGATCTTCGATGGATACTGACTTGATGAAGACAATCGGGTACTGGCCGGGCAGTGTCGCGGCAAAGATCTCCTTGAAGTAGTTAGAGCTGGCTGCCAGAATGACCCGATGCGCCTTCACCTGTTGGCCACAGCAGCAGATGGTAACATCAGTGAGCGCCTCGTCGATGAACATTGACTCCAAGGCCTCGGTGACCTTTTCCTTGTGATTGATTCGCATCACCTGAAAGTTTAGCTGCTTTGCCGCCGCCATGGTGATTGCTGAAAGCCGTAAAATAAAAATATCACAGTTAGTCAGCTGAAACACGTTTGACTCCAATTCTATAACAGAAAAAAANTAAAGTAGTTAGAGCTGGCTGCCAAAATGACCCGATGCGCCTTCACCTGTTGGCCACAGCAGCAGATGGTTACATCAGTGAGCGCCTCGTCGATGAACATTGACTCCAAGGCCTCGGTGACCTTTTCCTTGTGATTGATTCGCATCACCTGAAAGTTTAGCTGCTTTGCCGCCGCCATGGTGATTGCTGAAAGCCGTAAAATAAAAATATCACAGTTAGTCAGCTGAAACACGTTTGACTCCAATTCTATAACAGAAAAAAATACTACGTGAGAGACTGCACGCTAAGCTAAACTTCCGCTTTGTACAATGTGCGTGAAAATAAATACCCGTTTCAGCTAATTAAACTAAAATAAAACTACAATTGAAGCCAAATTNATACTACGTAAGAGACTGCACGCTAAGCTAAACTTCCGCTTTGTACAATGTGCGTGAAAATAAACCCGTTTCAGCTAATTAAACTAAAATAAAACTACAATTGAAGCCAAATTCTGTATTCCTCAGGCAACTCCTCTGCACGCACACCTGCCGTACAGGACAACGGACAACATTATCAAATTACACAAACACACTGCCTGCCAAACCTGTTTTGGTCGACGTCACAGCAAAGGTCTCTCTAATTTTCCTATACCTCTTTTGCTCTTGCTCCTTTCTAGGACACACATACACACATACTGGCANTCTGTATTCCTCAGGCAACTCCTCTGCACGCACACCTGCCGTACAGGACAACGGACAACATTATCAAATTACACAAACACACTGCCTGCCAAACCTGTTTTGGTCGACGTCACAGCAAAGGTCTCTCTAATTTTCCTATACCTCTTTTGCTCTTGCTCCTTTCTAGGACACACATACACACATACTGGCATCTCTTTTTACTGCTGCCGACAACAATGACAAAGAAATGGAAAATTGCAGCTACTTCTGTTCTTTGCCAGACAATTCTTGGATATAAAAAAGCTGAATAAGCTGTAAAAAAAATTATCTTTAAATGGCAAAACAATTTAACAAGCCATTGATTTTTAAAAACTAAAATTTTTGATTAAGCTAAAATGCTGCTACGCCAAACTTTTGTTTGAAAACTAAAGACACTTCTAATTAAATTAAAATTGAAAAATGTGCCTTACCTGTTGAATGAGACTGTCTAGAGAGGGAAATAAAAATAATAAATTCAAATGACTTTNGAAAAAATTATCTTTAAATGGCATCTTTAACAAGCCATTGATTTTTAAAAACTAAAATTTTTGATTAAGCTAAAATGCTGCTGCGCCAAACTTTTGTTTGAAAACTAAAGACACTTCTAATTAAATTAAAATTGAAAAATGTGCCTTACCTGTTGAATGAGACTGTCTAGAGAGGGAAATAAAAATAATAAATTCAAATGACTTTCAGCGAAGTCCGATGAGGAAAGGTTGATAAGACGATCAGAAATAAATGCAATGCAAATGTGATGACAGAAAGAAGGAGCCGATGTAAACGTTGAAATAGACTGAGCTGATGTCTATGNTGAAAAATGTGCCTTACCTGTTGAATGAGACTGTCTAGAGAGGGAAATAAAAATAATAAATTCAAATGACTTTCAGCGAAGTCCGATGAGGAAAGGTTGATAAGACGATCAGAAATAAATGCAATGCAAATGTGATGACAGAAAGAAGGAGCCGATGTAAACGTTGAAATAGACTGAGCTGATGTCTATGCACAATAGCACCAGCTCAAGTTGCGTGGTTTCTGGAAAAACAATGCCTATGCTACAACAGGTGGTGGGATGCGTTGCAGTGGAGGCAGATCAGGGTGGCAGAGCTGCTGTTGCAGAAAATGAATACAACTGGGCTGATAGGCTCAATGGAACTGGTCGCTAAACTGAGTGTGAGCGGAAGAAGACGAGTACCGTCGTGTGGGTCTGCTAGAAATACAGGGCACACCGGAATAGGAGCACCGTTTTCTGACACAATGGATTGCAGCACCTTTTTGCAGCAAATAGCGGCGGCCGGCTTCGCCGCAATCTTCTTACGCCAAGAGATGGTCTCGCCGTGCCTGTAGCCTGCTCGGCAAACCGTAGACCGTTGGCGTACAGGCTGTCGCTTAGCTTTCTTCCACTCTCAATGAAAGACGATCACGGCGGTGGACGCCGAGAGTGCGTCTTGAGCGAAGGCGAAGAAGTGTCGTTTGCTTGCTTCCAATGCAGCAACTCGGAAAAGTGCACCAAGCGAGAGCTAGTGCAGCAGCAATAGCAACAGCAGTCTTCAGCGGTGGTGACTACTTGGAGCTGGAGACAGAACGAGAGCTAATAAAATACACTGCAGTGTTTGCACGGCTGAGATGGCACAGGGAGCACCAATGTGTGCAGTAGTGTAGAGCTCGGGAGACGTCGTCACAAGAGTGGTGGTGGTGAGATTGAGACAGGCTTGAAGCACGAAGTGAGCAGCACAGGACCGGACAGGCAGCAGCGCCGACAGCGAGCAACAGCTAACTCTAAAAGGCAGGCAGCCGCGCGGCAGTGGATGGCCAAGTGTAATGAGGAGAAGTGGCGATTGCAGCAATTTGTGGATTTTTCGGTGATTCGAGGAACACTCTAGTGAAACGGAAAAATAGGACTTTGATGTTTCTGGAAGTGAAGGGTATGCTGGTAATGAAGGGATTGTTGACGGTGAAGAGGTGAATGGTTGAGTGTAGAGGAGATTAGGGAATGCGGTGATACACTAGCAGCAGGTGGCAAAAATGGAAAATGCAAATTGTTGCATTTGTTTACTGTTTGCTGACTGGATAAATATTCTTTGCTCACTTGAAACTAGTCAATAATTATGAAGTAAATGTTAAGGAAAGTGTTAGATGATTTTCGAATAAAT